AAAGAAAGGAATGTTGACCACAAAACATAAATGTGAAATGTAGTTTTAGTATAGATATTACTAGGAAACAGGATATTCTCTCCCCCCACCCCAAACAAAAGAAAACAGAAAGAGTTCATATGCTTTCTAACTCACATTTTTTCATGTTCCCCAAGTAGTTGGGGTGTTGATCGGGGGGGGGGGGGGGGGGGGCTATTTTAGCACTGTAGTGTAGTCTAGTATTGTTATTTCTAATATTTTTAAAGGAAAATATTAATCCCTCTTTTCAGAGTCTCTTCTCTAACCAATTTAACAGCACCTTTCACCTTCATTTCCCTTTATGAAAAGACCCCCCCCCCTCACAAACCCTGACATAATTGTGTGGTTTGAGCCTCACAGTTATTAAACAGAGCTTTAAAATGCGACAGAAGTTATTATTATCCTCCTTAACCTTTGTAAGATGCTCAGTGAACATGTTTTCCCCATGCATTAAGGAAAAACATGCAATGTTTTCAAAGTACTTTCAAGCAGATTCAGGGAATTCACCTGCATCTTCTGTACTTCCTTTCAATGTTTGCTGAATTATACACATCACTCAAGTATGAGAATTGAAGATGTAACTGATCAAAAATGGAAAATGACTCCAGTGCATTAGTTTATCTCTATCTAGAACTAAATACCCTCAACCTTGTTTGTGTATTCCTCCTGCTTTTTCACTGTTTCATAATCAATTCTGAATTCTGCACATGCTTTCTTGTTCTCCATTTATACTTTTAATTTTCTTTTTTCATATCAAATCCAGTCCTTTGTAGTTTTATAACTGAAAATAAGATGAATTGATGTAATCTGTGGAACTTCTGACATTTCAAAATCAACTTTAAATATAAGTAATATGGCTCAAGAGAAATGTTATTCCTATTTCCGGGCAACATTCAAAGTGTAAATGAAAATAGGAATTGGTAATTGAATTAATGGCTGACTGCCTGTGCCAAACTGAAAGGGAGTGAAGAATAGCTGATATTTTAGAACAACCATTTCTGACGAATGCCTAATTTTTCACTACTGCATGGAAGACTAGAAAGTTTTGATACTCTAATTTTTCTGGTTTCTAGAAAACTAGACACTTATGGCAGACATTTATCTTTTAGCTAGGTGTTGGGCAATGAGGGGCTTCTACTCCCCTTGCTTCCATGGATCCTCTTTGCTCAATTATTTTCAGCTCTAATCCAAACACATTTCCAATTAACACCTCAAAAGTAACAACTCCTTCAGGTTCTCACAAGGATAAGCCTTTCAACAGCATAAATCACACTCCCTAACCTTGGCTGAGGGAGCATGTGGCACCTAGTAGTTGGAACGCTGGACTAGAACTCTGGGCAACTGGTTCAACCCCCTTCTCAGTCGCTGAAACCCATTTAATGACAATGGGCAAATAATAATAATAATAATAATAATAATAATAATAATGCTTCATTTATATCCAGCCCCCTCTCCTTGAGGGGACTTGGAGCAGCTTACAACAGGGACACAATATAAATAAAAGTAGGCAATACAGGATAATTAAATCCACAAAGGAAAGACAAATCGTAATATCTAGGAAAGAATAACAGTAGATGTGTTGAGTATAACTCTAAAAAAACTCATAAGCGATAGATCCAGTTAAAAGTAGTCACATTTTAAACCACCACCAGTTAGGTTACAGTTAGCCATTTTCAAAAGCCAAATGATAGTTTCTCTGTCTAAGTGAAAGGGAATGCTAAATCCCGCTCTGAATAAATCTTGCCTAGAAAACTCTATGATAGGGTTAATAAAAGTCGGGATCAATTTGAAGGGATATACAACAACGATCCTTATGCAGAGTGCTTGAGTGCCATGTAAAACAATTATTTGTCATTCAATTTGCATCTTCCCTTCGCCGCAGAGTTCTAGTTCAACAGTCAAACCACTGTCCCACATGTTCCCTCAATCCCTGCTGCTCTCACAGAGATATCTGCAACTGATTGAGATAGCTATAGCTAAGTTAAACATTATTATATCCCCCATTTTTTTTCAGTTTTCAATGCAACCTTCAACTATTTAAAACCATTCTGATCTCCCTATCTCATCCTTCCAAATCTTTGCTCTAAAAATCCTGTTTCTCAGTATTTTGTGTTGTTTCTCACTTGGAGGGATTTCGACACTGAAAAGAGAACACTTCAGGAAAGCATGCAAGCACTGTCTATGTCCCTAAATTACTCTGGCATGATATGTAATCTCTTGATTTATAAAGACATTGAACAGCTTTGTACCATTAATGTGAATTCATCAAAAAGAAAAAAGAAAGAATAAAAGAGGAATAACTACTTAATTAAAACAAATATCATGTATGATATTATAAAATATCATACATGAACATGTATCAAGACAAAGACTAGAACCCAGTGCTGTTAGGTAACATTATTTTCAACATATGATTACTGAGTGTAGATGCCATAATCAGGAAATTCTGCAACATAGTATCTTCAGTCTCTATGTTTCAAAATGCTATAGGAGGAGTCCGGACACAATAGCAAATTCATGGGAAATAGGAGACCCACTGAAATCAGAGAAGCTTAGGGCTGTAACTAATGATGTCCAGTAAAAGAAACCCTACTGTGGGGATTACAGTTAGAAAGAATATTTGAAAATACATGCCAAATGGTTCAAAGACATGTTTTTGTAGCATTAAGAAAAGGAAATGCAGAACTGGCCAGAATCACATCGTTGGGGATTTATTTTGTGCAGAAAATACTATTTCTGCATAGAAATGTTATTTTCTTGCTATTTTCAGTTCAATGCCGCCTGCTCCCAACTGAAGACTTGCAAGAACAAAGGTCTGAGACTGGGTTTAAAAATGAAAAGGAAGTTTCAAAGAGTAAATCATATGTATGATTTTGTGGAAGTGCTGTGTTAATCATTATGCAAATAATTATCCTGATTTCAGTGACTGGATGCCCCATTTCTGACCTCAGCAGACATGATTGCAATGGCAAGAACTAGCAATAGAAACATGAAGATGACCCATTCCCTTGTCTGCACTTCCCTGCACACATAGAGGGATGTACACATAGAGAATGGATTGTACACAGAGAAAATAGATTAGGTCAACATGGATCTAATGCAACTGTCCACATGACTGCAAAGTCCAAGGACACTCCAGAGTTTCCTGCAAACTACAGCTTACTGCAAAGCTGTCGTGTGTTATGAAGACGCCATCACTGTTTTTGGAATGAGTACATGGGTTTTGTTTACTAAGCCTAATTCCAAGTTCACTTGTGCCCAATAATTTAAAAAGTTATTCAGACTTAGGAATTTTTCCTTGATTGTTTTTCCACTATTTGGAAATAAATAAAAGGGGATCATTTAATCACAATAACATTTTGTTCTCAAATTAAATATTGCTAAACATGTCTTTAGTTTTTCATTCCAATGTTTTCTGAAGCATAACTTTTCCACTGTTTACTGAAAGAACCTTCCTATCAAGTGTAACAGGAATAAGAGGAAGGTTCTGTAACTCAGGTGAATAGTGCATATGGTTGCCAACATTGTCAAGTTTGAGATTATTGGACCACTGATGGCCAAGGATTACATTGCAACTTTTAAGATGCGGTTGTGTATGGAATGCTCTTGATGAGTGAACATAAATGTGTTTAATTTAATATCGTATACAATTAAGCTTAAACTTGCAAATAAATTCCAATTGGACATAGCGGGCGATGTGCTTTAACTGTCAAAACAGAATGGTGTCTTCTGAATTATGTAAAAATGTGATTTTCATTACATAAATATGACCAATGTCAGAGGGTTAGTGATGTTTTGGTGAAAATGCACATTATTTATTTATTTCGGACATTTGTATCCCGTCCTATCTCAACCTCCGCAGAGGGACTCAGGGCGGCTAACAAACCGGCATTACAGTAATTTACACTGAGGATTAACTCATCTGAGCAAGAAGGCTCCTGTCTTTTGTGCTAAGGTAAAGGTAAAGGTAGTCCCCTGACATTAAGTCCAGTCATGTCTGACTCTGGGGTGTGGTGCTCATCTCCATTTCTAGGCCGAAGAGCCAGCGTTGTCCATAGACACCTCCAAGGTCATGTGGCCGGCATGACTGCATGGAGCGCCGTTACCTTCCCGCCGGAGCGGTACCTATTGATCTACTCACATTTGCATGTTTTCAAACTGCTAGGTTGGCAGAAGCTAGGGCTGACAGCGGAAGCTCACGCCGCTCCCCGGAATCGAACCTGTGACCTTTCAATCAACAAGCTCAGCAGCTCAGTGCTTTAACCCACTGCACCACCAGGGGCTCCCGTCTTTTGTGCTACAATGCTGCAAATTATATCTAGATTTCAGACTGAATAACTGCTCCCCTGTGGTATTCAAAAAATATTTTTCCTAACATATATTTGTGAATGCAACCTATTCTTAATTGTCAATTTATAAAAGACTGCTATTCTACATTGGGGGAAAATATGAACTCTCAGGTGCATATAGAAATCTAGCTTCTCTTAATGTCAGTTGGTTAGAAAATGCAATAGTACTTTTTTGCTGCAAATTAATACATAATGATTTTAAGTTACAAAAGCATATTTTTTGTCCGGAGAACAGCAGGTTTTGGAAAACTCTATGCTACAGGAGATGCCAAACAAACTATTTTATGTACCCATAACAAACAAGGTATACTCTATAGCCTGTGACTGCAGAATATAATATTATATTCAATATATATTGAATTTTCTAGGCATCACCTGTTTTTTACTGTATTATTTACTGGTTTATAAAAATTCCTTCAGTTTTGTTCAGTTTTAGTGCATTTCTGATAAATGAACACATTTGATCACCTTTATATAAACTTTTTAGTTTCTTTTTGTGATACAGAGTGAAATAGTAGCTACCTGTGCAACAAGAAATATATTAGTTAATATAATTAGGAACTGTAGCATTTAATGTGATCTGAAGAACCAAAACTTCCTCATAACTTGCACTTGTTTGTTTGGAATACCTACCAGAGGAAATCCTGGGAGGCAAAGATCCTCCCCGTGACAGAGGATGTGGGGCTGGAAGGCTATTTAAAAGTCCTTCCCTCAGGAATCTTGGGCAAAGAGACTTCACCCCAATGGGCGGGAAGGATCCTTATAAAAGATAAAAATTGTAAGTCATTAGACAGGCAGTTATTTTAATTGCGGAAAAAAGCTGTCGGTTTGAAAAAGTGATAAGGAAAGACCACAAGCAATATCATCTTAGTTAATTTGCAAACCGTTGTGGTCAGAAAAAAAGTCTGGTAAGATCAGGTAAATCTAAAAGTCAGCACATGCAGGCCAAGGATAGAAACTTGATTCCAAGGATTAAAGTTTTGATCATACAATGACACACATTTCAAACAAGAAAGAATATGAGGAAAGAAAAAAATTCTGATCAATCCACTGTTTTCCTCAGGTTCTGCATTTTAATGTTTTGGGAAATATCTTCCAATTAGATAGCACAGTCCAAGAAAAAACGTCTTGGTGTTTTGGTTTTTAGTCCTGTTCCTGGGGTGATTTAGGTCACTGATTCATAAAATTGCATTGGATAGACTGCATCAGCTCTAGTTTCTTAGATGTGGTTACCATGGTTTTCTGTGGGTGAACAGAGGGCGTCTTCCACCTGGTATATGTTCTGTATCTCACCTTGAAAAACTAGAGACGATAAGGGAAAACTGGTGCCACTTTTTGAATCAATAGGGAAAATATACCCAGAGACAGGGCTAACATTAGGGGCACCAAAATGTGTGCTGGCCAGTGTAATATTTCATTTATTTTAGGCTAATAGGCTTCCTCCAACATAGTGCTGTCCAGATTTTTTAGACTTTCAATCCCCATTATCCTTTAACTAATGAATGTTGTCAAGTGAACTGTGGGAGTTATTTTCTAAAACACTTAGAGGCAACTTTGGGAAAAACTGCCCTAGATCATGAATTTTCTTGACTGAGATGTAATATTGCAGTGTAGTCAGGCAAAGAACTCGAGCATTCTTTCTTCTTTCTTCGTCCATACATCCTACTTTGGAACAGACTTGCCAATTTGTCTAATTACAGTTTTCTGTGATGTTCAATCTATATCTATAGTTTAAGGCAAACTTACCAACCTATAGTTAAGACAAACTTTAAACCTATAGTTTTTGGCAAAGGTGGGAATTGCATTATTTGCAGAACACATGCAGTTCTCCAGTGATTGTAAGATTTCCCCTGCACTTCCAGTTGCCATCATTTATGCCAAAAAAACTGGCCAGTCAAACTTGCAAAAAGCTCCAGGAAACCTGACTGGCTTTTAAAAGTAAAACCACATGCTATACATATGAAAAATTGAAGTGAGTCTCTACTTCTCTATTTTGTTTTAAGTGGGTGAGCTCTGACCAGCCGAGGTGTGCAGGAGTATGATGAATGTGTCCCTAGATCTTTGGGAGTTACCTGCCTGTGGTTTTAGCAATGCTCACAAACCAAGACTGCAAAATACAGGTTCAATCTTGTCTCTAGGCAAGATAAAACTACATTATCTTAATGAAGATTTAACACAACAGAAGGTATTCTCTCAAGCCAAAAAGAGGGCTTACATAAGAGGAACAGCAGAGCATGAGTCCAAGTCAGAAAATGAAATGCTTTACTCCTAATTTACAGCCAGGTAAATTACATCTGGTTCTAATGGTACTCTGTGGACACACGTAAAAAAATTGTGCCAGTTCTGAACAGAATATATAACTATGCCATTTCTTCCCAAAATGGTATGTTTCAGCTTTGGTTCTGAAACTATGAAAGGACTCAATAAAAAGTATATGTTTATTTCTCATATCTTCTGGTGGGGAACTAGTGCCGTATTTATGCCCTTTGTTGCAGTTGCTTATTTCTTGAAAACTTGCTGGACACCAGAAGCTAGAAACTCATGGATAGCATCATAAAGGAGATCCCTATTTTGGGTAGCACTGTGTTAGATCAAATAACAATTAAATCTGATCCTGAAAAAAAAATCTAGAAGTAATATGATCTAGTAGGTTTTGGGGAATATTTCTTAATCTTCTTTATAGTATTGATAGAGGGTTAGCTTTGATAACTGGGCCAAATTAATGTTGGTGTTTTCCTGGTTTCAGAGTCTACCTTTCTTGGTGCTGTAAAATAACTTAAGTGACTATGGTATAGACCAGGGGTCCTCAAACCTTTTTTAAACAGAGGGCCGGGTCACAGTCCCTCAAACTGTTAGAGGGCCGGATTATAATTTGAAAAAAAAAATGAATGAATTCCTATGCACACTTCACATATCGTATTTGTAGTGCAAAAAAAATTCTTAAAAACAATACAATAATTAAAATGAAGAACAATTTAAACTTATTACTTAAAGAATAAAAATATAAATTTATTAGTATTTCAATGGGAAGTGTGGGCCTGCTTTTGGCTGATGAGATAGGATTGTTGTTGTTGTATGCTTTCAAGTTGTTTCAGACTTAGATTGACCCTGAGTGAGGGCCGGGTAAATGACATATCTGGCCCTCGGGCTATAGTTTGAGGACCCCTGGTATAGACTATTATTTCTGGAGCAAAACTGCTTTTTCTTTTTCTTTTTGCTGCTGTGGTGATCCTTTGTTGTTCATTCGTTCAGTAGTTTCTGACTCTTCGTGACCTCATGGACCACACCAGAGCTCCCAGTTGGCCGTCCCTCCCCCAGCTCCTTCAGAGTCAAGCCAGTCACTTCAAGGATGCCATCCATCCATCTTGCCCTTGGTCGGCCCCTCTTCCTTTTTCCTTCAATTTTCCCCAGCATCATTGTCCTAATCTTAACCTAAAATTAATAGCTTGACAAGATACAAACATGAGGCAGGATGGGATGGAAAGTGAAAACTTTATTGTGTCTGGGAAGACCAGTTCACAGAGTGATCCAAATCCTTAACCATTCAGCTGCCCTGAGTCCCCCCTTCTTCTCCTTCTTCTTCTTAATAAATTGATTAGTGAAATTTATTAAGCTATAATTATCTACTATTGGAAATGTTGCACTCAATTATTTCCACCTTCTCTCCTTTTAATTGGACTACATGAGTGGGTATGAAATATAACTAGAAATAAATTCAATAAATGATGAACTCAAAATTGGAGTGTGGCAATGAGTATTAAAAAGATATCTGTGTTATTCTGAAATTTATAAGCATGTCTCCTGCATAAACATTTGGTATACTTACAAGAAATTGTTTTGAACTTTTCAAAGGAAAGGAAATGTTTGATCGGAAAACATGATAAGTCACAACAAACAGCAATCCTTCAGTAATACGACCAATAAAAAATAGTGGACTATAACTTATTTTAAGATTTGGGGAACTGTGATTTTTCATCTGTAATCATGCAAATTATACATAAATTCTCTGCATCTGATGTTAAGCTTAACAGTAGAAAAAGAAACAACACAAGATAGAATCTGATGATTGCCTCTTTTTTATGTAGATGTAGAAATTCTTCAGCCTTAGAACCAGCACAGAGAAATCACAGAAAGCATCTGTTACAAGAGTAATTAAGTGAAAACAACATTGTTTTTGCAGTGATGAATGTATCAGTGTATACAAGTGAGAACTTTGAGGGCTATTAGTTAAATTATAAAATAAAGAGTGTCTAGTTTTATAACATAAGCATTGGTAGAGTTTTTCTTAGAGTTTCAACAAATGGCGCCATTTTAGAACCTAAAAGTGAAAACTAAACACTATTAAAATGAATAATGGCCTTTGCTTAAGATGTGTCTCATAATTATAACTATGGAATATTTTGAGGAAAATGTTTATATATTTGGGACTTTATTTAAAAACGCAATATATAGGACAAACAGCAGTCATTTGTGAAGTATATGGTTTTATTTTTTCCTGTTTAAAATTGTATTCTTCCAGGGCATCTGATGAGGAGGTGCTGCATAGTGTATTGTGTATTTTTATATATTTTTAGAATTGTTAGCTACTTTGAGTCTCCTTTAAGAGAGAAAAAGGAGGATATAAATAAAAACATAATACAGACAGGTCCTGAGTTACAAACATCTGACTCACAAATGACTCACAGTTAAGAATGGGGGTGAGAGAGCAGGAAGTGAGAGAAATCTACTCCTAGGAAGGGAAATTCACTCCCAAAGAAGTTATCCTGAAGACGTTGTAATGGGGAAAAAGTGTCTCAATTGAAACTTTCTTACCAAATATTCTAAAATCTTCTGAATAGGGACACAGACAGCAAAACAAACACCACAGGGTTGTTAACCTTTCCCTATGCTATCCAAAGCTAAATATATATTCATATTCTTGGCTGGTGTTACATTTAAAAATGCATCTGTTCTGGTTTACATACAAATTCAACTTAAGAACAAACCTATAGAATCTATTTTGTTTGTAACTTGGGGATTGCCTTTAACAATCTATTAGAGATGTGGATAATATGTGATATTTCCCCCTATTGATCTGTAACTATTGATCTATCACTGGCATGTGACACCTGTTCGGTTTTTTCCAATTGTCTGGGGACATCCATTTTAACCTGTTTCATAAGTATAAATAGCAGATGATGACAAGCTTAAAAAATAATAATAACAGTAACAATATGCTTCTTAAAATCTGAATGCTGACCCTCCATTGTTACTACACATTATAGAAAATGTGTTGATTTTATTATTGTACCCATTTGTCTAACCACAACTCATTTAATTCCTTTCTTCTTGAGTTTATGTCCTCCAGGTCCCCTAGTTTACTGCCTGATCCACTCACTTCTGGTTAGGCACCTAGTCACTGTGGTAATAGCTTTCTCTTTCTGAATTCCACCACCATCAGAATCACAGTTGGTGGGGACATGAGAGAAGGCCTTCTTAGTGCCGTCCCTAGGCTCTGCATCTTCCTTACCCTGTTGTTCTTCTGTTGGCAGGTGGAAATCCATTCTTTTCCTACAGGCTTTTTTAAAAAAGTTTTTTTTTTAAAGGACCAAGTATAGTTTAAAATGAACTTTTAAAAGGGTTTTCTGTTTTTAATTGCATTTTATCTTTTTCTTCAGAGCTGAATTGTTTTTACAGTGTCATTAGTTTAATACAACTGTATTTTTTTAAAAAAAATACTTTTTGGATGTTTTAATAATATTGTTTTACATTGTGAGCTG